TCAATTTCACTGTAATTTAATTAACCTTTAAAGCAATCCCATCTCTCCCCTCTATAGCTCCCTCTTATATAAAGACCAATATAATCATCATCAACAACACAGTTTCTTTTTCTTCTTCTTCAACATATTTTTTCCCATCATCTTAGTTGTGCTGCTGCTGGCTCCACTCACACATCTTCTATAAAACCACCCTCCTTACAATTACAAGAATCTCTTAAGGTATAGTACTACTACTACTACAAAATCTTGTCATACAAAAGAAAAGTATTAATCATATGTTCATTTTCTCATGCTAAATTCTTTTTGTTATTTGATTTCAGGATTGAAATAACAAGCAAGACCATGAGCAGGAGGAATGGAAATGGTCCAAAACTTGACTTGAAGTTGAATTTATCTCCACCAAGGCACCAGCAGCAGCAGTACATTAACCAACATCCAATGCTGGAGTCACCAAACAGGTCATTGACAGCATCACCAACATCTCCACCAAGCTCATGTGTGTCTTCAGACGATTCGTCGGGCGGTCAACGCTATGCCAACAGCCCAGAAACAGCAACATCTATGGTTCTTGTGGGCTGTCCAAGGTGCCTTATGTATGTCATGCTAGCTGAAGCTGATCCAAGATGCCCCAAATGCAAGAGCACTTGTTTGCTTGATGTAATCTATGAGACCAACACTACTACTACTAGGAGGAAAATTTAATTACTACTCCCTAGGTTTCAAGAATCCCATCAACAACAACCAAAAAACATCCCCTATTCCCCTGTTATTTTAGTTTCTATAAATAGCACTACTTGAGCTCCATTTTTGACTTGAAAATTTAGCCATGATGAAAAGGTATAAATGGGAATTTGGAGCTTAAATAGTGCTATTTATTTGGTTCTTGCGTTAGTTTTTAAACAATTTCAAGGTTTCGGTTATGTTTGTTATTACTCCCTTTTTATAGTGCTAGTTGTGGGGTTAGTCGGTTTAAGGTATGTTCCATCTTTTGCAGAAGCTGTAAATTTCCCAACTAAAAGTGCCCACATTTTCTTTTTAAAAAAAAACAAGAAGAAATATTTGGTAAATTTTTCCTTTCAACAGAGGTTTTGCTAACTGCTCTTCGGCAAAACAGAGTATAGCAGCTATGCAAAAGAGCATTAATCTTGATTAACTTCTATTGCCCAAAATAAAATCTTGAACTACCATTGAATCTTTGATGAAAGTCCGAAGGCACTAATTTTGCAACGATTAAAAGAAAAATTAATAACGATAGTGATCAGCACTAGGCTCGGACAGCTCGGCCTCTTATTTTATTGGAGTATATAATTATCGAAATGACAGTACACGATGAAATTGAGAGTTCAAATCTTGACCATGAACAGAGGTTCAAGTAACGTTAAGTGACACTAGCAATGGTGTAGTAACATGATGTATATTAAGGGGCCGCTTAGTAGAGTGTATAAGAACAGTACTGAATAGAGTGTATTAGTAATGTTAGCACTAGGATTAGTTATATTCGAATTATTTCTTATTGACTGTTTTATTCGGTGTATTAAAGGTTTTGAAAGGAAGATTTTAACTTTATACATGCTTATCCATATATTAAAAACTATGATATTGCTAATGTGAGGGTTTGCTATGTATAAGAATAATATTGAATATGATCCATAACTAATATAAGTATTGGACTATTAGTTATACATAAGTTGAAAAACATTATCAAACAAAGGATTAATAATATCAAACTTAACACATGTATTATTTTCTCTGACATATCCTACCAAACGATCCCTAAGAGGATTTATTAAAGGATTGATGGTAATCTGGAAGTAGTTCAACGTCAATATTATTATAAATCCAAATAATCAATGTGATGACACTATACGATGTACATGCATGTGATGTTTTAATTAGGTCCAAGAAAAAGGGTAATTCTGGTATTGGAAATGGATTGAGGTTGGGCAGTTCGAGCAATGGAAAACAAGAGGGAAGGGAAATATTCCCTCCATCTCATATTAATAGTCGTAATTACTAAAAATAGTTGTCTCAAATTATCTGTCATTTTAGAAGTTCAAGACAAAATTGATCATTTTTTTTCTTTTTTTACCTTAATAATAATTGTTCTTGAATATGGAGATAATACAAATATAATAAATATTCAATGAAAAGTGTTTATATCTTATGATATAAGGGTAGAATAGTCCATTCCCTTTCCTAATTTAATATTTCTTAAGGGCGTATAAAAAAGACCGACACATAATATGAGACGGAGATAGTACGATATTTCATATTTGATTGAGAGAACAATTAAAATCAAATAAATGCAAACAGTAATTGAGACGGTTGAGAATAATGAAGCCATTACGTCATATGATAAATACAAAACTAAGGGGTCGTTTGGTTGCCGGTTAGAGTTATGCAGGCATTAGTTATACATGTATTAGTTATGCAGGGATAAGTTATGCAGGGATAAGTAATGCAGGGATTAGTTATGCAGGTATTAGTTATGCAGAGATTATTTTTTTGAATATTTGGTTTGTTGTATTAGAAATTGATATACATTATATAAATTTTAAAGTAAAATGCTTGTTTACAACTATACCCCTGGCCTTCTTTTGCATTATTTTTTCTCTCTTTCCATTTATGTAGGAAACAATTTAGTTAGGAACTTTGGGTGTTACTTTCACTTCTTCGTCATACTACTGAACTATGTGAAGTTTAGACATATTTGATTTTCACTTCTTAGTTTTGGTATTTCCATTTTCTAGTGGCTTCTCCGGTTTGCTTTTGCTAGTTTGTTCTTTAAAAATGAGAGAAGACAAGGTATATAGTTGGCAAGTGAAAGCAAGTGAAACCTGTTGACGGGTCGGCAGAGAAATAAGGAAGCCTTATGTGTAAAGTGATAGGGGTAAATTTGTCATTTCATTATTTTATCCATGTATTACTAATACATGTATTAGTTATTTCATCTTCTACCCCGCATAAAATAATACACAGATTGACTCATAACTTATACATGTATTATTTATGCATAATTGAAAAATGTCAACCAAACATGGTATTAGTTATGCAGAATTTTATACAAAATAACTATTGCCTACCAAACATGGTATAAGTTATGTTACCCCTTATACATGAATAACCTTTCTTCTAACCAGCTACCAAACGACCTCTAAATGTTTGTGTTCATCTTCTACTACCATCTTCAACTAAGCCTTCTTTTTTATTTTTTATTATTGTTATAAAAAATAATAATATATGCTTTTTCGTTTTTCCTTTTTGGTTTCTTTTTTAACTGTTTTCTCACTAAATGACCTATTTAATTGACTTTCTCAATTTGGGCATCTCTCCTTCCTAGCATGTTCCCTTATTCAATTCTGTTTTAACTCTTTTCGCCTTTTTCCCACCCCTTCTTTAACTCATACACATGCAACGCCCCGTTTCCCTTCCCTAAGATATCAGTCCTTTTTTCTTGCAATAATCAATTTTATTTCAAATATGTCATGGTACGGGATAATTTGAACTACAAGATCAAATCATATTATATCGTTTATTTATACAGTAAAGTCAATTTTCGACAGAATGAAATAATTTTGAAATCTTAATTTCAATTGCTCCCACCTCCAAAAAATCTTTATTTCACTAGGTTTCACAGGACAAGTGTCACTCGAATGTCACTTCTTTATAGGATCTCTCCTATTTTATTCTTCTATTGAATAGTGTTTGGCTCAAAAGTTAACGATTTACTTTGTAAGCGATAAAACAATCAAAAATAGAAGAGGGGTAAATCGTAATCAAATATAATAAGTCTAGAGATGCAAAGATGATAATATTGTTGTAGATCTAATATTGCAGAGTGACAATGTTCACCAATAAGATATTTTCGTTAGAAGTAGAGATATAGAGAGAGAAAGCCAGAAAAATGAGAGAGTTGTATTAGATCCGATCCTCTTTTTACAATGTGGAGGTCTCCTTTATATAATAGGAGACCTTCCTCGAAAGAATCAAAAAGTTACAAAGATAGGTAACGTCTCCCTAGTGTGGACGTTGAGTTCTAAACGATGTCGCTTTTGTCCTCACAGCCGAGTCGTACCCGCTACGTTGGTCGGCGTACACTCATTGGGCGTACCCACTGGCGTAGAGATACTGAGAGTCAAATTTGACCCTATACAGTTAGTCCCTCCGCTCGTTGGAGACGCGTTCGATGGGCGTCTTCGACGGGCGAAAATACGAACCTCGGCTTAGGAGAATTTGACCTCGACCAGGGGCGGCAATATGAATGAAGTGAAACATATGACGTTGTTGAGCCGCTGACGCGTGGCTTCCTTTTTGGAATGATGTCATCGCCTGTATGCATCATTATTATATTTGCCCCCGAGGCGGTTCAGAGGATGAAGTGACGTTTTGGTTTCCGGCGCACGTTTTGAATCATGACTCTTCGATTCCTGTGCAACTTATCCTTATAAGTATGAGAGAGGTTTGATCTGATTCCACTTTCAAGCCGCTGAAAAGTATTTTCTGATACACCCTTTTGCCTTTCTTTCCTGTAACCGTTATTTCGTGAGGGACTTTCCCACTTCTGTTGAAACCACACTTCCTATTGTCAGTGCTTCGTTTCTCAAGTAGCATAATCATGACAAAACGCGGACAGAATAATAAAAAGGCCAAAGATAATGCCCCGTCTAGGGTTCCGCTATCTTCTGGTGGTGAAGGGGAAAAGGCGGAGAAGGCCCTTGTTCCTCTCAGCGTAGACAATGTCCTTCCGAAGGAGATGCACGTTCGCAGGGATTTTCCGACTAAAAGCCCTGATCATCCCTGGGAGCACAGCGTTTTGCTACAATCCCATTTAGACGAGCTGCGAGAGACGCACCGTATTCCGGACCACGTGGACATGGTTCCGGCCGGGACGGATTATGCCAATGTGCACCGTCCTGGATATTACGCCTTCTACGAGTACCCGTTCTTGATCGGTTACGACCTTCCAGTCTATACTCTGGTGGAGGAGCTTTGCCGTTTTTACAATGTGTGTCCGGCCCAGCTTACTCCTTATACTTTGAAGGTGTGCCGTATCATGACCACCTACGCGGCCAGGGCTGGGTGCAGCGTCTCAGTCCACCAGCTCTTACAGTTGTTCAGCGTTGGTTACCTGAGGGGTACCATGCTGCAGTTGAAAGGTCGTGGCGCAAAGGGCTTGGTCGTT